CATCCCAAACCCCGGGGCTGCAGGACACCCCAAGCCCCGGGGCTGAGGGACATCCCAAACCACAGAACTGCAGGACATCCCAAACCCCTGGCTGGTCACGACAGGCAGCTAAGGAAGATGCTGACCCACATCACCCACCAGACACACTTTGTTAAGCAGTGAGCAAAGGTTTTTTAGGTTGCTGAGCAGCCACAAGCGCTGCCTGCCAAGGCACCGAAGTGCAAACGCCCTGTCAGGCACTCGGTGCCTCAGGTCTGGTGAGTCAGAGGCAGCAATCAGTGAAACATCTCCTGTTCACAGCACCCTGCAAGAGAGAGCCCCTTGCAGTGCCTGGGAGTGGGGGTTTGCCCTGCCTGCTTGCCTGCAGAGCCAGACACCACAGCTACACACACTTAAATATGAGCGGTACTTACAGCACATATTTTTCTTGCTTTAGTGAGATAAGGCTGGAAAAATCTGGGACACCAGGAGGAGCTGGCAGGAGGGCTGCTGGGGTGATGGGGGAGAAGTGGCAACACTGTTATCTGCAGGCAGGATCTCTCAAACATTCATGTGGGTTTGTTGGCCTTGCTTCATAAATATTTTCCAGACAGAGATTTGTTTGGAAATGCTGTCAAAGCAGCCTCAAGGAGTCTTTTTGGTGACCTCCAAAAAGTACATTTCCTAAGGCATTCCCCCTGTGCATGTCTTGTCAGACACCCACTTTGATGCACAATGTTTACTAGGAGAAAAAAAGCAGTAAAAGCTGGCAAAGGCTGCTGAAAACTCGGGACTCCATTTCAAAATTTGATGAGCTGATGCAAACAATTTCTGCCGGGGCCACTGACCTCTCACTCACCTCCAGCAAAGGGTCTGGCAGCTCTGTGTGGCCCTGCCAGGGGGCACTGACAGCAGGCTGAGGGATGCCCATGCAGCTCACCTCCCCAGGCTACTTACTGCTCTCCTGCCTCAGCACTGTCAGTGCCCACAAACGGGATTTCCTCCCTGTCCGTCTGCCCCAGAACCAGGTGGTGCTTCTCCATGTTTATGACACACTGGAGAGAAAAAATGTCCTCAGGTAAGAGGGAAAACTGCAAGTTAGAGTGGTCCCAGCTCCCCCATCAGCATCCTGCTGGAAAACTACCTTCAGAGACTTCAGTGTCTGCAGCCCAAAGGAAAAGGGTTGGTCATTGTCTTCTGAAAAAAATACAGGACATTTCAGATTTATACATTCAAAATGCCCTCCTGGGCTTTTTGTCAGTGACTCCATCCTTCCTTCGTGGTTGCTGTGCTAAGCAAAACCCTGTTTATAGAGGGACTGACTCAGAGGAGAACAGGAGGGCAGGAGGGCAGGCAGATGTGCCTGCAGTGTTTGCCCCATCAGCATGGCAAAGCCAAGCTTGTGAGCACATCCTCACCCTTCCCTCTGGGGACCCAAACAAGAACTGACTCTATTTGCATTTTAACATCTTCCTAGAGCTCTGTTTGTCCTGCTGGGGTGGGAGGAAGCAGCCCCAGCCCAGGGAGGGGGAACAGAGGGTTGGTTGTGCACTCACCCACGACGAGGGCCGCGCACTCCACAGGGACCGCTCCCACCGTGAGCGACAGACCCTCGATCTGTCCGATGGCTTTCATCTTGTTTGGCAAGGAAACCATCTCCTCTTCCACAGGGAGTGCCTTGAGATGCTCCTTTAACCTGTGGGCATTGAAAACACTCCTAACATCAAATGGCCATGGCTGGGCTGTTCCAGCAAGGAGCACATGGTGTTTGGAGGGTGCTTACACCTGAAGTGCTCTTAGCTTGCTCATTTACCACGCTGTTGTTGGAAAGCTGCTTCCCAGGCAGGTTGTGTGTGGGTGCTCTGCAAGCAGCCACCAGACTCAGCATGACCCACAGTGCTGCCCAAGCACAGCTCTGTGCTGCACTTGGGGTTTTACCAGAAGAATCTTTTACCTACATTTTCCCGAGACTTGAGGAATGCGGAATTGTTTCTAACATAGTGTGGGTGTAAAGAAGGGTCTGTTCACTCCAGCTTCCATGAGTGGAGCTGACACTGTGTCCCCATGGCATCATAGAAATGCTGAGACTGGAACAGACCTCTAAGGTCATCGAGTCCAGCTATGTCCCCAGATGCCACACCCACACATACTCTGAACACTTCCAGGCATGGTGATGCCACCACTTCACTGAGCGTGGTGATGCCACCACTTCACTGAGCAGCTTCTTCCAAGGCCTGACCACCCTTGCAGGGAAGAAATTTTTCCCGATACTCAAACTAAGCCTCACATGGCACAACCTGAAACCATTTCCTCTGGTCCTGTCACTCATTGCCTCACTTGAATCTCCTTTTGGGGAGTTGTAGAGAGTACAAAGGCACCCTCTGAATCCCCTTTTCTCCATGCCAAACATGCCTCACATACAGGGTGGCCCAATCTGTGTGTGTTAGTTTGTTAGGTGCTGCTGGCTTTGTTCTGAGGAAATGGGGACAGATCAATCACATTCAGCCCAAAGAAAAGAAAAAAGGATGTCAGAGATACCTCAGGTACAGTTTCTATCTACACCCTTTGAAGCAGTCTGACAATACTAATTAAATATTTAGCTTCAGTTTCTCTTTTAAACTGAACTAGAATCTAATGGGAAGGCTGTTTGAGGTGCAGATCTCTCCCTCAGATAAAAGCCAGATCAAATTTCAGCTATTTGAGGTGCCTTTCTGCTGAGCCGCATTGCAGCAGTGCTTGTGTCTGTCTGTCTGTCCTGGGCGCCAGCCCCCTCAGAGGCTCCAGGACTGAGGTGGGCATTGCCCACACCCTTTAACACAGGTGAGGGGTAGCAGGGAAAGGAGCCGGATCCTCCCTGCTGCTTTCCTGTAGTGTGGCCTTAAAAATCAGCAGGAACACATCAATGAGAAGTTTGTGAGTTCGTTGGCTGCCTCCTGCTCCTCCTACAGCTCCACAGGGGATTTCTCCTACTGGCAAGCTGTGAGCCTGCTCCACTGCTTTCCTCAGGGTAAGGGGGAGAGAGTGACTGGCATCATGACAAAACACAAAAAAATCTCTGAAAAAGAAAGGGGGAATTGAGCCTAAGCATCAGATACACAAGTGCTGCTTTGAGGCACCAGGTGCCCTGAGAGCTGGGCAGGAGAAACAGGCTCTGACCTCTCTTCAGTGCTCTTTGAAGGGCTGCTGCAGCAGAGCAGGGCTGCAAGAACTGCACTAGACACATGCAACAAACCCAGGGAGCAGAGGAACTGGAAATGCCTCCAAATGCCATCCTAAGCTTGCCTGAGCTGCTCCACAGGTTGTGACAAGGTTGTATTAAGCACAAACACCTTCCAGTCACTAAGCACTGTTGCTCAAAGAAGTAATTAATGTTAGGAGAGAACAGGCACCATTCAATCAGGGCTGTGCAGTAGTGCTCAGTGAGCAGGGGTAATTTTCTTTTTTTTTTCGTAATTATTGCAATTTAGCTGCAAAAAGCAATGACTCCATGGGAATAAAGTGCCAAAACCTTGATACCCTGAGAGTTGGTGCCTGGTCTTGTTCCTCAGAGATGACAGGAAGTTTTGCTGCAAATGGCTGTCAGGCACCTCTAATAATCCATAAATACATTCCCTTTTCCTTTAACCAGGAGAAATTTGTAACTGGGGAAATTTGTAACAGCATCAGACACCCATTTCTGAGAACATGCATGCACATTGCTTCTTTACATGGGAAAATGTAAATACATTACTGGGCCAGCAGGCTGGGGGCATGTCCTGCAGCCTGGTCCCTGTCCTGCCACAGGAGCCTGCAGAGCTGGGCTGGGCTGCCCTGGGGACACAGAAGGTTGGGGAAGGTTCAGCTGTTTCATGAGGCACTGAGTGACAAGCAGGCAGTGAAAAAATGGGAATGCATCCAGCCCTCTGAAGGGATTCCCTCAGAGGGGAGTAGGGTGGCACCCTGTTCTGTTCCACCTCTCTGCCATTTGAGACTGGGACAGGGTTTGGTTGTGACAGGAGGGTCAGGGGCTTGCCCAGCCCTTCCAGAATGACCATCACTGACATGGGCAGAGCCCCAGCCCCAGGACACTGCCAGTGCTGCCAGGTGCCCTGTTCCTGCAGAACAGAAACCCAGGATATTTACCCCAGCCTGTCCAGGCAGGCAGATGACATGAGGTTGTGCTGCGAGCCGGTGTCCACCACGGCCTTCAGCTCCTTCCCCGCACACTGCAAGAGCAAGAGCAGATGGGAAATGATGTGTGGGATGCAGGATGAGCACCAGAGTGCCCAGGAGCACCAGCTCTGGTGCCCATGAACTATCCCATGCCAGCTCATCCCTGCTCCCTGCACACTCTGATGCTTGTGGGGTCCCAATCCCTTCCTGGCTCATTTGTATCAGGTTCTCTTGAGACAGTAGCTCATGTTTGGCCTCAGGTGTTGATTATTTCTTATCAGTAAAACAGTCTCACTACTGTGAGTTGGGGAGCTTTTCATTAGAAGGCACAAAATGGCCAACAATCTCTTGTTACAAGGTCTTTTTAAGACTAAACTATCCAATGAAGAACTGACACCCAGATTATTTTCCCTTTTAACCCAATAAAGAGCCTGCAATGGGGACTTTTCTGCCCAATTACAAAATGCCACCCAAACCCATGAAGAAGGAGGAAGAAGAATGAAGAAGGAACCCAGGACAACACCCTGTGCCCTCCATCTTGCTTCCATCCACAACACACTAAAAATCCCAAAAGCTAAATTTCTCACCAAGTGATACACCTACACTACTCTCTATCATCTATTTCACACTTTTGTGGATTCCAGTCTATCTTGAAGTCTAGGAAACGTTCTCCATGAATGAGGGTCAAAGTCAGTGCTCCCCTGGGGGTCAGGGCACCCCAGAACAGACAGGGAAATATTCCTGGAGCCCTGGGTTTCCACAATTTGCCCCTGCAGAGAGTAGAAGGGACAGCCCAGGCAGGAGGGAATGCTGTGGAGAGTGGAAAATACAAATGAGCATGGGGCTAAGGAAGAGAAATGTGAAATTGCCATTAGGAAAGAAAATAGGGATGGCACTTGAGGAAAACAAGCAGGCTGTGAGCACAGGGATTCGCCATGGATAATTATACCCCAGCATTTCAGCATGCTGCCCCAGCTTAGCTGTCCCCCTGCCCTGAGGTGTAAGGGAAGACACCCATCACACCAGTTCTCTCTGTGATTCCCAGGTGGGCATCTCTGCCACAGCAGCCTGGAGCTGCAGAGGGAGTGCATCCCCAGAGCTGTGACAGTCCTGTGGGAGCACAAACCTGGCTGGGAAACAAAGAGAACAAGAGCACAGCCTGGGACTGTGGGAAATGAAATCTGCAGGAAAATAACCCACAAAAGGCTGTGAAGGGACTATTACCTGGCAGCTCACCACTATGAGCTCTTCATCCTCAGTTTTCCCTGAGCTGCCCAGTCTGGTTTGGTTCAGCTTGTTGGTCTGTGATGAGAGATCCTTTGGGGCCCAGCTGCCTCGGAACTTGGATAAGTTTGTCTCCATCAGGCGCTTCTGCAGGATGTTATGTGGTTGCTGTAAGAGAGAGCACACACAGAAGAGCAGGATGAGGTCAGAGGGAAGCCACACAGTGTTCTGTGCCACCAGACTGCCTGTGGTGCCCATGGCCAGCACTGCTGTCATGGGAGGTAGGTCCTAAAGTCTCACTCTCCCTAATTCCCAGCCTACATCTATTCTTCCCAGCTAGTTCTGGCTTACCTGTTTTGACTGAAAAGAGCTTTGCTTTGCAAAGAGAACAATACTTTCGAACTATTAACCTTTGAGACCTTGGAGGGATGCCTTTCTTTTACCAAGCTCAAATTCAAGGTTTGATTGCATATAGGAATCCAAACAAGTCCAGCTTTTCAAGGTGGTGCTTCAACCACAACTGCCTTCATCTCTCGATGAAGGGAATTCCATAGTGATGTGAAAAATTAGGATGTAACAAATCACCTTTCCAATGATATTCACCACCTTAGTATGAATAATGTCTAAAATTGCCCTCTGTGCCTCTTTCCCCTGTACTTTTATTTAGCTGCTAAGGGCAGCTAAATGGGACCAATCGTGAGTGCCATACCACAAGAGGAAGGGGAGAGGAAGGAAAGAGGTAAGCTCATCTGAGACTGGTAGGTATTCTCCCAGAATTCCCAGCACTTCTCTCTCTCTCTGTTATTTCCATTTGCTCTGGGAGAAGCATGTTGCCTCTCAAGATCTCCCCCAACCTCTTTCCCAAAAGCCTTTTTATGTTTAATGTTCATCTCAGATGGATGCACACACTCTGCTGGAGGTGAAATGACTCTGCCTGATTATCTGCTCATTTCTCTGCCTGGCTAATCTGCCCTCCCCATTAATGCCTTTCCTTCTGATTTTAATTTCACCATGGTGAGACATTTTTACTGGCTTATCCCTGAATTTTTGCATTGATGTTAAACATGCCTGTGTGCCTGCAGAGACATCTGAATCAGAAAACCTGGTTCAGGAAGGGAATATCAGAGTCAAGATAACTTTGAAAACCTTGGGCTGTGGCTCCCCAAGTTGGGCAGTGCCCACCCTTGTGCACAGCATGTTAAATAACACCACTCCAAAAGTCTGATGCAACCTGGCATGATCCTAAAATAACTGCAGCCACACTGGTGTGTCAGATTGCGCTGTGGGCGCAGCGGAGCTGGACCAGACTGGTGGGCTGGGGCAGCTGCACAGCACCAGTGGGCACTGGGGCATGGCAGCTCCTTGTGTCCCCTCTTTCCACCCTCCTGCTTGAAATAAAATCCCATGGCCATTTGGGGCTGCAGGTGCTGTGTCTGACCAACCTGTCACAGAGCACGTCCTGAGTCTGAGCAGCAACCCCTGATAGGGGGAGTCAGCTCTGACATGGTGCTGCCTTCCCAGTGAGGCCAAAGAGCAGAAACCAGCATCACTTAACTGCACTAAAGGCAGGCTGGCTGGACTGGTACTGGGCCCTGTGTGGGGGAACAAGCAGAGCAGTTTGGAAGTGAGGGCTCCCTGTGTAAGGCAGAAGCTGTAGGTGCACAGTCAGCACTGTGATCACCTCCAGTGCTCCTCACCAGAGCAAAATGCAGGCCAGGGTTTTCTGACAGTGAATGGGATGTCCTTTTCACCCTTTAGGTTTGACTGCAGCTCAGGAACACAGCTGGAACACTAATTGCTCACATCATTTAAAAACAACAAAAGAAAGGATAGGGGAGTGCAGAAATAAATGAGGAGGTTCACCCAGCTGGCAGAAGACAGCCTGTCCCACAGTGTCATGTCCTTGTGCCCAGCCCCACTCAGGCAGCACCAAGAGAAATTCCTGAATGCCATCAGCCAGGACAGTCTGGGTGCTCTCCTGATCTGCCTGGCCTCAATCTCCAGCACACTCCTCATTGTAATTTTAGCTGTCATCTAACATTGAATTAATCCCATTTTTTTTAAACTACACATTCTCCTATGGATTGTTAATCAGTAACATGTATGGGTTTTCTCAAACCCTGGATTTTATGAATCTTACATGGGATCCATCACCAAAAGGAACAAATCCATCAGTCAGCAGTCACAAGTTACCAGCACAAATGGGATTGCCTTTTGTTGACACTTGCCCTTCTGAAAACCACAGCAAATTCTGCCTCTGGGGAGACAAATATTCCTTATGTTGTGCTCCAATACAGCAATAATCTGGCAAGAGGGGCTGAAAAGGTTCCCTGCAGCACCATCCTGTCTCAGGCTATTAATTAGTTTGCTTTAACTTGGATTTCCCTTGACTCTTGTGTGCACCAGAGTGAGGGATGTTAGTCATGGAAATGACTCAAGTGATGGATACGTACTTGGTAAATGGATAATGTGCCAGGGGACATTTGCAAATGCACATTTTGCTGGCAAACTGCAAGCAGACTGTGTCTGGGAGGGAGAGGAGGAAAATCTCCTCCTGACAGCAGTGAGGAAGGCAGCTGTGTTCTCCCTCCAGTGTTTGAAGGAACCCAGATCACCTGGCACAATATTCCTTTGCATTGCAAAAAACTACTGAAAGTTTTATAAAAGTATAGAATGTTACATTTCATTGTGTCAGCAAAACAATAAGTTTTCCTTTTATCATTCACCACTACATAAATACAAATCAGGATTTTTTTCACAAGATGGGTCCATTTCCAACCCCAATATTTGCAAAAAGCTATGATCCCCTAAAAATGTCACAGTGAAAACCTGAAGAAGCAAGGGGAGACACCATCTACTGCTGACCTTATTTACCACTGTCTGTCAAAAGCACAGATAATTCTGCCCAGCTTTGTTCCTCTGTGATTCATGAGCAAGTGCATTGCTGCAGCTTGCAGTATTCATTTCTCTGGCAGGTTTCCCTCTGTTTGGCTTCTAGATCTGGGGATGACAAGACCCATCAATAATTTCACTGAGGTGGAGGTGAAGGTCAGGGAAGACACCAGCTCCCTTCCTCCACAAACCCATCTCAGGAGGTTTGCCCTTTGTACCTAGACAGTAGAGGGGAAGGGAAAAAGAGTTTTTATGCATCAACAGAGCTAATCCCAAGAAATAATTCGTTTCTCTCTCTTCTTCCCACCCTTAACCCAAGCTCACATGTCCCTGACAGCATCCTGTGCTACCAGCCGCTCTCCTAGGGTGATGAGGGGGGACAAAGCTGCCCCCTGTGTGCCCAGGCAGCAGCCAGCTCTCTCTCTGGGCCAGGCAGAGCACACAGCATCACAGATTTCTGCATTTCAGGCAAGACACACCAAACTCTGGGTGTGCACAGCAGGGAGTGGGGACACCTGAACGTGCTGCAGTCCATCCAGTGCTGCCCCAGATGTGGGGAGCTGGGGCCAGCGGCCACCCAGGGGTGTGCTGAGGGTGCCCAGGGGAGCTCTTAGGGCATGATGGAAATGGGAAATGCTTTTGCTGCTGTTGCTGCTTTTGTTACTATTTATAATTCTGCTGCCCAAGTTGTCAAATGATGCAGGGCTGCTCCAGACAAAGCTGCTCCAAACTGGTCTGGTGGCTCTGGGGGCAAGGAACAAGTGTCAGAGGAGCTGCAAGAGGCAGCATGGCCTGTCCAGGCTGGGAAGGGGGCTGTGGTTACCCGTCAGGAATCCCCATCCCAGCTAGAGACAATCTCATCCCAGTTTTTGGGCTTCAGGAAAGAGGCTAATAGAGGGAAGAGACATCAAAACAAAGCCATTTCTGCTCTCGACATCCAGCATAACATTTGCCAAATTCAGTGCATGCTTTGCTATGTCTTGGTGTCATACTGGACAGAGGGTAGTACATAAAGGGAACAAGGAGCTGGAGTTCTGTCTGAGCCAGAGTAATTCACTGGGAATGCGAGCATTGAAATGGATGATCACAAGAAGCATTTATCAAACCTGCCTGTGCACAGCATCACCATGAGAGCTGGATGGTGGCATACAGACAGGGCATGCCAGCACACCCACCCTGCTGACCTGCTGCAGCTTCACTGTGCACAGAACCCCCGCACAGGGCCACAAGGAAGGGGATTTCTCCCCAAAGCTGCAGTGCCAGCTGCCTCAGTGACAGACAGGATCTGTTCTCACCACCTGTCACCATCTCTGAGGAGCTGTTCCCTCGTCTCTGCTCCTGCCAAGGCTGCTGGAAAAGCCCCAGGGGAAGCCCTGCATTAATTACACCAGGCACACCAGGAGCCCCTCCGTGCACCATGGCTGCCATGCAGCTCCAGCACAGGAACCTCTGCTCCGTGGGGACAGGCACAGCCATCCTCAGGGAGGCCATGAAACACTTTGGGCCGAGAGCTCTGATGCCCTGGGCCTCCTGATCATGCTGTTCAGTCCCTCTGGGCATGAGGCTCTCAATTTGGGGCTATGCCAAAGGGAAGCCCCATATTCTGGAGCATCTCCAGTCTCAGAGATGCCCAATCTCCCTCTCCTCCTGGGGACAGCCCTTGTGACATGCAGGCAGCCACAGCAGTGGGGACACACAGTGTGTCCTCTCAGCAGTGCCTTTCCCACCCTGGCTGTGTCAGGGGTGAGTGTGGCAGCATCACTTCACTGCAACACACCCCAGGGACACATCTCTGAAGTCATGGGATCCTCTCTGTGGCTGTGGGAACAGTCCAGTGCCAGTGCTCTCACTCTGGGGGCTCCCTGCACACCCCATGGGGCAGCAGGCTGGGGGCAAGGGAGCCCTGGCCACATGTGCCACCACCCCCACAGTGGCATGGGGACAAGGGACATTTTGGCATTTTGCAGTGGGGGACCCAGGCCAGCTGTGTTCTCACCCCATCCCCATGGGCATCTAACCTCTGCCACATTGATCCTTCTTTTTGTTCTTGGAGGGGTCTGGGAGCTGTGGCCTCCCCAGGGCTTTGGCACATCCCTGGAGAGAGCCCCCAGGCAGTTCCTCCTTGCAGGGGCTGTGGTGCAGCAGGGGTGGTGCTGCATGGCACAGGAGCAGGGAGGACACCCCAAGGGACATTTCTGTGTCCAAGGTGGTGTCAAGGAGCCCCTGCTCAGCCACAAAACCTGGTCCTCACTCTGCTGGGCAAGGGAGTTCAGTGCTCAGTGCCCCTGGCTCCTACTACCTGTTGATTCTTACCTGGGCAGAGCAGAACCCACATCAGGGACTCAGTCCTGCTCACTGGGGGTCACAGAGCCACAAAATGTCATTTAGACTCTGCTGAAAATAAAGTAATAAAGCCATCTCTCCCCTAGAAAGCACTTCAGCTCTCTGCTGGAGAGCTGCAATTCAGTAGCAACAAGGAAATCTCCTTCTGACCATTTCCCTGGGCAGGAGCTTCACTTCCTGCAATTGCAAAACCCTGGGGATATTAAAAAAAAAATCACCTCCATGTGCAATGCAGAGAACAGCCAACTCACTCCACTTGTCTCAAGCCTAACCCAGCTGAGGAGAAAGGCTCTGACAAAACAGAACACTAAAAATAAAAATATTTACTTTGGTTTTCAATAAAATCCATATCAAACATCGGAAAAAAAGAAGATACTGTTTTACAAGGTGCACAATATTTTCAACACTGGGGCAAAAAATCCTAAAGGAGCTTTCCCTGGTAGATATGTTTTCTAAATTTTACTCCTAATGTCAGAACTTTTGATGTCACATTGGAGTACCCTTTCCCAGTAGAGAAAGCTGAAGCATTTGCACAGTATTTAGAAATGCTCTCCAACCCCCAGACGTGGTGAATAACACCAAGTACAGGATCACATAGATCACTACATATGTAAATATTTTAAACCTATGTCTCATTGGTATAAGAAACCCTTGGTTTAAGAAACCCCATATATGCATTGGCCTTTACTGGAGCATGATCTTGAGAGTTTTATATTCTGAAATAGCCGTGACTATATTTACTGAATCTTTATGATTATGTGTTGTGTGTATCTATAGATCACATGCCAACATGTGTGTGTACCTATGCATTGTATGAAGCCATTTTGACGTACTCTGACCCAGAGAGGAATTCTGTACTGCAAACAGAATGCCATTTTCATGCAAAAGTTAAAAAAATAAAATTAAAAAACCCTAAATGCCATTAACTCAGGCATCTAAAAGTACTTACTAGAGGAAAACAGCTGTGGTTATAACTACCATCATGTTTCTACTCCCTTCCATTTACATGCTATAACTAATATCATATTTCTACCCCCTTCCTTTTACATACAAAACGTCCAATTTTTTACAATCAGTTCCCACATGCAACCAACTTCTCCTAACAGAAAAACAACGTGAAGAAAGACACAGACACTGCCCTAGCAGTCCTTCCAATAAACACAACAGAGCCTTACAGTATCCTTCGATGTGCCCAGCTTCTTCAGCCCGTCCAGAGGGAGCAGATCCGCAGAATCCTTGTGGATGAACTGCACCGCCTGCTTCATCCTCCTCTGCTGCCGGAGAGACGCCGCTTCCCTGATCTCCACTTCTTTCCTGCTCGGCTCCGTCAGGATGCCCGAATAAAACATCTCTGCTGCCTCGGCGAGAGATGGGTTAGAGGATGCGGAGCTGTGAGTCCGGGGATCAGTGCTGGAGATGTGGTGATGCGCGCTCCGGGATCAGCGCTGGGGATGCGGGGATGCGCGGCCGGCCGCGCTTTATACGCCGGGCGCGGTGACGCGGGGAGCGGAGCGAGCGCAGGTAGCGCGGCCCGAGCGCTGCGCGCAGCCAGCACCCGGCGGGGGGAGCTGGGCTGCTCCGGGGATAACACTTCCCCGCCCTCCCTCCCTGCCGGCAGGGCTGGCCGCGGGCGCTGCGCGGCTCCCGGAGCTGCGAGAGCCGCACCCCGGGCCGGTGGATGCAGCCCCGCTGGCCATGGGAGGGTTGGTGGCTTGTGCCCGGGGTGCCTCGGTCTCATCACTGCATGGCCAGCAGCAGCCTGCATCATCACTGGCCTCTCAAGCACCCAGGAAAACTCTCTCAAAAGATGTCCCGGCCAAACTGGGGCACCTTAAATGTGGTTTTACGCATCAAATGTCCAGGTATAGCACAATGTGACTAATCACCAGCACCCACACCACTGATTGTTAATCAGAGCAAGCTTGGCAAAGCAGCAATGGTTTTACAGCTTTTGGGCTGCTTGCCCAATGATCCAGCTGTTGCTGGAGCCAGTCTTGCTGTCGTTACTTACCTCTGGTCCCGGACAAAGCTGGGAGATGTGTTAGAGGATGCTGGCATTACCTTGGCTGCCTAGAGGTGTCCTTTATTCTTCATGGGCAGCTTTAGGCTTCCAAGAAGCAAAGTCCTTTTTTCTGGGGCTGGCCTGTCCTTTAACTTGTTTTATTTAAACATGAACAAAGCCTCCAGTAATATTCCTATACCTCTTTCCATTACTGTAACAGTGTTCACAGGGGTTTTCAGGATGAGGGAAGAGATGTAGATCTGACTCTATATTTCAGAAGGCTTGATTTATTATTTTATTATATATATATTCCATTATAACTATACTAAAAAAATAGAAGGAAAGGTTTCATCTCAGAAGGCTAGCTAAGCTAAGAATAGAAAGGAAAAGAATGAAAACAAAGGAAGCTGGCTCGGACAGAGACCCAGCTCTGCTGTGACTGGTCACTAAATCTAAACATCTACACGAGACCAATCACAGATCCACCTGTTGCATTCTACAGCAGCAGATAACCATTGTTTGCATTTTGTTTCTGAGGCTTCTCAGAAGGAAAAAATCCAAAGAAAGGATTTTCACAAAAAGATGTCTGCGACACATTACAGTGTACAATATGAACTAATACACATTAACAAACTTAATAGAGTCTCATACTATAGAGACTGACTAATGTAATAGTTACAGAAGGTCATTTTCTTATCAGGATTCATAGCACACTTGGGTTTCATTCACTACAAGAGCAGGTGAGAGCAGCAGGTGCTTCCCTGAACTTTCTGCTTTCCAAGCAATTTGTTGTATGGACTAGGCACAGAAAAAATGCAGCTCTGCCTCAGAGAGACAGCACAGATCTGTAAACACTCCCCATGGGCTTGGTTCTTGTTAAACTGAGAGACCTTTGATGTGCTAGGCAAAGCACGAGGAAAGCAGAGCTTAGCCCAGGATTCATGCCAAGCCAGACTTGTAGGACACTTCCAGAGCTGGGACACTGATTCTCCTTGGCTCTCCCCCACCAGCAGAGCCTGGGCTCACACTTTCTGCTCACCAAGGCACCACAGGCACCTGCAGCTCCTGCTCCTGGCCTGGGGAGTGGGGCTGGCACAGAGTGGGGAATGATGATGCCAGAACAGCAACCCCCTTTACGTGGGCAAACTTACACATCTGAGCTCTGCAGCCAGGACAGACCACGTATGTTCAGCCCCTTCTCATGTGACCTGCGAGAGAGGAGGGAAACAAAGCAGCTGATGAGTCAGAATGCCATAAAACCCGAGCACATCATTGCACAGCCTCACAGAAAGGCCACAGCACACGAACCAGCCCAGTGAATGTGGCAGCCTGCAGATGGATAACAGGGCTGACAGTCTGAAGGGGAATATAATTTGTATTCCCTGTGCTGACTCAGCTCATTACACAGCAGGACCATTGCTCCACTCTGGCACACAGGGCCAGGAGGATGAAAGCACCTTATTTTTCACCTTGGGAACCATTTGGCACTTTTCCAGCTGATTAAATAAAGATACACGACTGCATCCACACTCTCCTGAAGGCAAGGAGGAGGCAAAAGGGCTGACACTGAAACCAGGAGGCAATTTTTAGTATAAAAGCTTCATGGAGCAGCAGCACTCTGCCCAATGTATTAACAATGCCCAGTCAGCTCTGGTTTATTTCACAAAGAGTAAAGCTGCAAGTCCCGGTGGGGCATGGAAAGCCTCCTCACAGGGCAGCTCCGAGGCTGCAGCCTGAGTTTTGATTCAGCACACAAGCATTCTGTCTGAGCCCTGCAGTTTCACCTCTGCTGTGTGTTACAAATGCACTTTGTGCCAACAGCTCTGAGGAAAATCTGCTCAGTGCTCAAGAGTAACAAACGAGATAAAAGCCTAATTCCTCTCTTGGTTTTTAATCCTGAGAAAGAGGAAAGGGGAAGAAGCAGTAAATCATCTGCTCAAATAGTGCAGGATCCCCTCTGAAGGAGGGGCTCAGTTTGGACAGCTCAAACCCTGGAGTTAAGCTGGTTAAGTGGTTAAATCATTTGTTTGCAGAGATTAGCTGGAGGTGTTTCTCCCCCTTCCCATACAATGTATCTAAATAGGGGCACATTTCAGAAAAATTCCCATCCCCTCATCGGAGACAAGCCTGTGTGTGACCACTGTTCCTTACTCAAGAAAAGCTGAAGGGACAAACCCACTTTCCTTGCTCTTTCCTGCCTCCTGGTGAAGGGGAAAGCAGCAAAGCAGCAGCAGGCAACACAGGAACTGGGTCGGTCCTTTTTTTTTCCCCTCCTTTTCTTTGATTTCTCATCTTTCCCTAAAAAGAAGTGATTTGTTAGTGGTTGCCACATCCTGAAGAAATGCAGACATGCCCCAGAAAACTCTGAAGAAAGGAGAGAGTGGTATAATTATAATTTAATGGAAACAGAAGCAGGCAGTAAGTCTGAAAGAAATAATTTACTCAGCACAAAGAAAAAATTTTAGAGAATTCATTTCCAGAGAAAAGACCGTGAAGAGCTTAAGAAAATGAAATCACAATAATTGATGTATTAAAATTAGTATCAGTGCATTTGTAAGGGTCAGTTCTAGCATAATCAAGAAAATAACTGGAATAATTTGGAGACTACAAACCAGTCCTTTCTAAAATCCTTGGCTTCCAAAATCCAGAAGGATTTACTGAGCTACTTAATTATCACTTGTAGGTAGACAAAAACTGTGGATAGAGCTGGAGAGACCCTCTAACATACAAAGGTAGAGTCAGGCTGAGGTTCCTGAGATGTGTAGCCCATTTTGCTGAGTAGTTCCACACTCACCCTCTGTGTTTCCAGTGCTGACCAAGGGAAAGAACCTCCTGGGCTGGGATCTGGGCCCCATCACAGGCATTCCATAGATACAGCAATTCCCAGGGCATCTGTGTTTATCCTGGGTGCAATTCCAGCCTCCTTCCCCCCTGAGTGTTCTGTGCAGGGCCTGAGCTGCGGCATCAAGCACACAGCAGAGGCACAGTGACACTGGGAGGGAAATCAGACCTTGCACAACTTCCCTCAGGGGACTGAAATGAATTTTTCTGTCTGGTTCTCTTCATACACACAGGCAGCAGGTGAATGAGAGTTTCAGCAACACAAAAGCTGCAAATGTCAAAAGAGATTAAAATGGCAAGTCTTGCAAGAGCTCCCTTACCTTTGTTCTCCCTTCTTTAAAGGGGCTGAAATGTGAGAAGGGCTGGTTCCCTTCAAAACAGGAGGAAATGGTGTCCACAGAGGGCAGGTGATTCTCTCCCCGGTACGCACCCACAGCAACCTCTGTTTATTATGTGCAACAGCAAAATTATTTCACTGTAAAATTTTCAAAATTATTAATTTGAAGGAACATTACATGCTAGTTCTCACCCTCTCAGATGTATGTTAGAGTAGAACTGCAAATATTTATTTTGAAGTAGTCTACACATATATTCAAAGTGCCAACCATAACTACATCACTCAGACTTCCCAAACCTCAGGGGATTTCACTTCTCCTGCCCTGCAAAAGGCAGCTTGTGTGCTGAAGGCTTCCTCTGCTGCTGGGGCATTCCAAGCCATAAATTTTACATTCAGGTCATTAAATATATAAGAGGGATCTTGTTAAGGCTAAACCAGGGCGAGGCACCTCACACTACACAAACACGGGTTTCTCACTGCTCTCTAACTTTCCAGGAGCCTGACACCTGCAGACCGAGCAGGAGCAGGGCAGGACACGCAGGAACGCTCCCTGTGCTGCTGGGGATTTCTGAGAGCCGGGAGGGAGAGGGCGCTGCTCCTCCTCCCATCAGCTTCTGTGTCGGCCCAGCAGGAGCTGCTGAGAAATAACCCGAGCCTGCTGCTCGGAGATCCTGGCTCCGAGGGGCAGGGAGACACAGGCTCAGCGCTGGGTTCTGCTGTGAAAGAGATCACAGGTGGGATCGAGCAGTGGGGCTGCGATTTCCTGGCTCATCCTAGAGCCAAGAACTCTGCTGTGGGATTGCTGCAGTCAGTGTCCGTCCCCAGACCCGGCTCAGAGCACCTGGGCAAAGCAGAGCTTGAACACGAGCTGTAAAAGCCAGAGGTGGGACCCAACCATCTGAGCAGCAACCACACCACAGGCAGAATCTTGCTGTTTTCTCCTTGAAACAGCTCCCAGCTGTCCCTAACAAAGGCATTGGGAGCTCCCCCCACCAGGGGAGCTGCAGGATGCTTTCAGTGTCATGAGCCACTGGACTAATGCCACCTAAGGAGAGACATGCAGAAACAGCCACTGCAGGAGCAAGAACAGCATCCAGTTTTCTCCAACAGAGATGTGCCACTGTTTTCACCCATATTTTCCTTGTCTCTGTTGTCACCCATATTTTCCTTGTCCCTGTCACCTTTTAAGGTTTTAAAAGGTGACAACTGAGGCGTTTAATTCACGAAAATCTTCTGCGTAATTCTTCAGAACAGGTCTGTCCCTGACCTCACCACACAAGACATCACAAGTGGCTTTGGTTACTTAGTAACATTGAAACTTCTAGTAAATTACAGAAATTGACCTTCAGCAAATAATTTCATGTTTATGTTC